AAGTTGTTTCCTTTCCCTACTCTGTTGGATCTTTAATAATCCAACTTGGACTATTTCTCTCTCTCTCTCTCTGCCTTTCATCTCCCTCCACAAAACAAACTGAATCCTCTCAAGTCTCATCTCACTTCTTGCTTTCATTTCTATTACCAACTTCAACATAAAGGCTATTGCAAAAACCAAAAACAAGAAGTAGCAAATTGGATGTAATCCAAATCACAACAAACATGCCAACAGCAAGAGCTCGTTTGGGCAGAAGACCATCCAGTTCTTCCTACTCATCAACTATTACTACTATCATCTTTGTATCATTATGTGTTTTAGGCGTATGGCTTCTCACCTCCACCTCTGTTATTCCTCCCAAATCCACCACTCGAACATCCACCGAATCTACCATCTCCACTTCCGCGTCTTCTTCTCTTGACTCCACCATTATGGATGCCCACAAGACCATTTCTAACAATGGAAGAACACCTCCTGTTTTTAAGGACACACAAGGAGACCTTCCTGATGATGCCATTAAGCCTGATGACGCTAACCGACCTCAGGATACTAGGGAAAATGACAAGCCCCAGACAGATGTCTCATCAGACATTACAAAGGATTCTGGTGGTAGAGATAGTTTAAACGGGAATGGTGAATCATTGCAAACTAGTGAAAATGGAAAACTAGAAGATGAGAAGAAAAATGCAAATCTAGCTGCTGTAGAGCACTCTCAAGGGTTGCATGGAACCGAATCTGTTGAAGAGCAAGAGAAGCAGAAACTATTGGAGACACAAACATCTGAGGAAAGTTCCATCACTCACAGGCAAGAAGCTGAGCAAATAACTGCAGGAATCGGAAAGACAACAACCGGAAAAGAATCTAAAGATAAGGGAAGCCTAGGAAAAGATAAGGCTGAAGAGGACGTGTCGTTGGATTCAGGAAATGATGCCCATGGAGTTTCAACAGATAACACCAAGAACATATTGACAGATCAAGAGCAACAAAAACGACTAGAGCAGCATCAACAACAGGAAGATGACCAAATGCAACAGCAACAGAAACAATCAGAAGAACAAACTCAAGGAGTAACGAGTAAAGATCAAATTAAACATGACGAGGCACCTATATTAAAAGATGTTAAGATTCAACATGATCATAAGGCTCCCGTAAACTTAACTAATAACCTACCTGTTCTGAAGACTGAAAATCACAAGACTGAAACCATTGTACCAAAAGAGTCTAAAGAATCAAAGAAGTCCTGGTCGACACAAGCTGATCATTCAGTTAACCAGAAAGAAAGACGAACAGTCGGATCAAATAACAAAGACAGCAGTGTCCCAGAACAGAATTGGCAGCTGTGCAAGGTGGCAGCTGGTGCAGACTACATACCATGTTTAGACAACGAGGAAGCAATAAAAAAGCTAAAAACCACAAAGCATTATGAACATCGCGAAAGACACTGTCCTCAGGAACCTCCTACCTGCCTTGTCCCCTTGCCTCAGGGATACAAGACACCAATTGAGTGGCCTAAAAGCAGAGATAAGGTAGGTGTCTATTCAGAAGTACTTTGTTACTTAATATGTATCCCAAAAATGTTAATCTTTTAAGAATTTTCTGCTTTTATCCAGATATGGTACCATAATGTGCCTCATACATTGTTAGCAGAGGTGAAGGGGCACCAAAACTGGGTGAAGGTCTCTGGTGAATTCCTGACTTTCCCAGGTGGAGGTACTCAGTTTATCCACGGAGCATTGCATTACATTGATTTTGTACAAGAGGTATGTTATCCATCACCAAAAACTATAATAATAACAACAATATATTTATCTTTTAAACATTAACTTTACATCAAGATAATGACTAAACATTTCCTCATGGCCTCTACTCAATAATATCATAGGATGATCAACCCAAAAATTAAAAGGACATCTTAAAAATAATTACTAGAAGAAGATATGTACTACTTTTGACAATTCAATGATGCTGAAGATTTATTTCAATCAACTGGTTGTAGGCAGTTCCGGATATAGCATGGGGAAAGCACACTCGAGTAGTATTAGATGTTGGCTGTGGAGTCGCTAGTTTTGGTGGTTATCTTTTTGAGAGAGATGTTCTTGCAATGTCTTTCGCACCTAAAGATGAACATGAGGCGCAAGTTCAATTTGCACTTGAAAGGGGAATACCTGCAATATCTGCAGTGATGGGTACTCAGAGGTTGCCATTTCCAAGTGGAGTTTTTGACCTTGTGCATTGTGCACGCTGCAGAGTCCCTTGGCATGAAGAAGGTTTTTCCTAGACAATATATATATATATATATAGGGTTATTTCAACATTCAAGTCCTCATTAAGACTCTGCCTTTGAGTTATCATATAGATTCGTTAATAAAGTTTAAATATGCGATGAAGGTGGTGCTCTTCTCCTGGAACTGAATCGTTTACTTCGCCCCGGAGGTTACTTTGCCTGGTCTGCAACTCCTGTGTACCAAACTCTTGAAGAAGATGTTGAGATATGGAAGGGTAAGATCCTACTCATTCCTTTCGCTAAATGTCGTTTAGAGTAAAATTAACACCTTTGCTGTTTTGCGGTTCTCTTAACAGCAATGTCTAATCTGACGGTGTCCATGTGTTGGGAGCTTATAACCATAAAGAAGGACAAACTAAACTCCGTTGGTGTTGCTATCTACCACAAACCAGACACAAATGACTGCTACGATCAAAGAAAACAAAACAAACCCTCAATGTGTAAACCAGATGATGATCCTAATGCTGCCTGGTAAGCTCACTGTAAGAACAGACTAAGAATTTGTCCTCCAACAAGATTTTGTTTACTCAGTGAAATCTGCCTACCAATAACATTTGCAATATCTACAAAGAATATGTAAGAATATAATTTCCACATATTCTTGAGAACTGCTTACCAACTTTTAATGAAATTGGATTACACATTTCAGGTATGTTGCCTTCCATTCATGTATACATAGGGTGCCGAGTGAAGAAAAGGAAAGAGGATATCGGTGGCCTGTAGAGTGGCCTGAGCGACTACAGACCCCTCCATACTGGCTTAACCAATCACAAGTTGGAATTTATGGAAAACCAGCTCCAGATGACTTTGCAGCAGATTTGGAACATTGGAAACGTTTGGTAAGCAAGGTGTATATGAATGGACTGGGAATCAGCTGGTCAAATGTGAGAAATGCCATGGACATGAGAGCAGTATATGGAGGGTAACTAACTTCTCTCTTCTTACCTCTGGTTATGCACCAAAAAGAGTACTGATAAAAGGCTCCTATTAACAGGTTTGCTGCAGCACTTAGAGATCTCAAACTGTGGGTGTTGAATGTAGTGAATGTCAACTCTCCAGATACACTTCCTATAATATACGAACGTGGTCTTTTTGGGATTTATCATGATTGGTGTGAATCCTTCAGTACATACCCAAGGACATACGATCTTCTACATGCTGATCATCTTTTCTCCCAGTTAAAGAAGAGGTAATAGTATTTTATGGAGTAGAACCTTGTCCTGTTTGAAAATGGTTCGTGTACCATGACCTAGACTTTCATGTGGCATTTGTAGGTGTAAAATTATTGCAGTGTTAGCAGAGGTTGACAGAATAGTTAGACCTGGAGGTTACTTGATTGTCCGTGATGACTCCGCCACAACTAAGGAAGTAGAGAACTTACTCAAGTCTCTGCATTGGGAAATTCGGAAAACCATCTCCCATAACCAAGTTGGAATACTAAGTGCACAGAAAACTTTGTGGCGGCCAAGCGCTTCTGCTGCACCAACCTGACTACAAAGTCGGGAGAATCCTAAAATTGTCTAAATCTGTAGTTTTTACTCTGTAGCAAGCACAACAAGCAATTCTATTTTTGTAGCCTAAAGTTCCTCATGTAATGCTGCGAGCAGGCAAGAAGCTGCTACCGTAGCTTTTGTTATTTATTTTTATTTTTATTTTTTATAGTTATTTATTTATTCTTTGATAGATAAAGAAGGCAAAGTGCTGCCGGCAAATGCCGCAGCTCTTGTTATTGATTAATTGCAAGGTTAATGTAACATTTAGCATACAGATGCATTCAAGCATGTCTCGTAGTCCTATATCATTTTTCTTTTTTCCTTCTTAGTCGCTTTTATTTTTTCCTCCGCGGGTTGTTTGTATTTTTTCGAGACTCGCCAACTTCAGTTTTGTCCAAGACATCTTGCATTAAGAAGGTCAACAAAAAGGACAAACCGCTCTTGGAGGAGTGAGTGCCTGATCACTGAGTTTTGATGGCTATATTTTTTTTGGAGCGAACTCAGGGCTATTTTGAAGCACATTGATACAAGTTATACCTTTTTGAACAAAAGGCTACACTGAATCCACTTTGTATACGGATAAAGACGTTATAAGTAACGCAACTATGAATCCCATAGTAAGTTTTATCTTGGCTTAAGATAAATGCTAACGGCATGCTTAACGCACGAAAATTGGACAAAAAGTGGTCTTTCTAGCAGCAGACAGGTTTCCTCAACCAATTTGGTTGGGTCGGCTATAAGATTGGTTTAAAAAAAATTATGAGCTGCTTTGACAAAGATAGACTTTGTTGAAATGTGAATGGGTCTGCAGAGCTCATGAATAATGGCATTTAGCAGTAATTACAAATGCAACAGATTAGGCCGACGGATATTTCTCTAAATGAATACAAAGGATCTGAGTTAACAGCTTTCCTTATGTGCCAAGCATGGCATCTCTTCACTCTTATGTCTCTATAATTGTTACAATGCGGATCTACACAAGCTTTTTCATACTGCCATTCGCTCAGATAATAATCTTCTGTGAATATTTGTATCCACGGGTTCTAGAATCCAGATGCACATAAAATTAGCTTCTAAAGTATGAAATTTGAACAACATAACTGGAATTGGAGCAGAGTCTATACTAGAGGATTTCTCTAATTCCACGCTTCTTGTTATCCTATTCCATTTTACTTTTGTTCATTTGTAAACAACCTGCTGTCTCTGCACAGTGCACACTGCAGTTATAGCTAGTGAAGGACATATGCATTTGAATTAAGTTCAAATCCCTTGTTGTTTGTCCAAATACCCATTTTTCAGCATGAGAAACGAAACGAACAGCATAGTAGCATACAAATTTTAGTTTAGAGCTGGACCTACCAAACTAAACTAAGCTCTCCATGAATGCATTGTAGCTTCAGGAATTCAGATAAGATGCTTGAATCTCTCGACTTGCAGTACTTTACTCTTTCTTAAGTAGACTTTGCAACTGACCGTTCTTGACAGCATTTTGAAGATCTAATAAGAAGCCCAAAAAAAATGAAAATCACAAAAACAAAATGAATCAAGTGTTACAAGCTGATAAATATCAGGTCAGGAGAACAGGAATCAGACAACTGAAATCACAAGGCCTACCCTCTGAACCACCAATATGCTTCCCATTCACAAACACTTGCGGGACTGTGCTGCGGCCCACCAGATCCAAAAGGACATCTTGAATACGACCGCCATCATCTGAGCAGATATATGGTAAGTTTGAAACAAATCCATTAATTCCAGCGCTAGATGTGACAACCAATGTAGACTAACCCAGATAGGCAATCAAATAGTCAACAAAAACTCTGTTTTTTTCCATTAATTGTTTTCAAGTATTCCACTTTATTTTCATTTCTTTCTACAGGTTCCATGGGAGGGGTATTGACAATAAATCACCTCGAAGATCAAGCTCCACCACAAATGGTTGTTCTTGAAGTTCATTGAAGATGTGTTTGGCACGCTTGCAGTACCTATTGTCGAAAGACAATACAAATTAGCAGGAGAAGTAAACTACAAACATCAACATGCACTTAAAAAGCTAGCTCAAAGTCTCAGACACAAGGTATTTTATGATTCTTTTTTCTTTTTATTGTCAAGATAAATGTGAGATCCAGCTGAGAATTAAATAAAACAAGGCATAGCATAAAGATGTGGCAGGATACAGAACCACTACAGCCTATGATGCCTCAAATCCATTGTTATCTTTAATCTTATTCATGTATACATATCCTGTCTAAGCATAATGTTTGTTCCAAGCAGCATATAGAACATCGTAAATCACATGCTCAGCTATTAAAATCGGTTGGTTACTCACTACGTTCCTTCTTTGCCAAAATGAAAGGTCTGATTATTATTTTCAGGTTTCAATATTGAAGAGGAATAGAAGGCAGTGGATGTCTAGAAAATTTGTCCAACAAACACTTGATGTGAGTCATCAGCTCTGACATTGGTGACTAGGATTATCTTAGCAACATGTCTTATTAGACAGAGAATCTAGTGATTAGTCCATGTGCGCCCAAGCTAGCCCGGATAGGGCTGATATTTTAAAAACAAATTGTCTGATACAGAAATCTGAGATACCAGTTCCCAATTTACTGGCAAAGCAGAATAGAAACCCTTAGAAAGTAAATAAAAGATGATCTCTTTCATCTGCAGGCTTTACACTATACTACGAAAGTTAAAAAGTTCTAATCAACTCTTGGTTTTAATCATACAGAGATACTTACGGGCAATAGGATTTGGAGAAGATGGCGATCTTGTTAGAATATATGACATTTTGAACAAAAGCAGAAGGAGAACTAGAAGCTAGGGCTTCTGCTGGACCTTTCACCATCGCCATTACTCCAAATACAGCGATCATCATAAGCAAATTACGCTTGAGCGCCATTTTCTCGTTTTCAACTTCACGAACCGTAAAGCGTTCGATAAACTGTTGAGTTTTGGAGAAAAAAGTGAGGAAGAGGGGTTTTTGAGCCTCAGCTGAAACCCGAAGACGGCGGATCTCGTCGGCGGTTTTCTCCACGCGGTTGCGGAACTGTTCCACGACGGAGATTTTGGAGAGGTCACGTGCTTTGGGAATGGGAAACCGGAAACCGGGTTTAGTAGGAAGTTTGTAACATTGTCTGAAGCACCGGTTTTCTATTTTGGTTAACCGAGCCGCCGGGTTGATGTGAATCATGACGGAGGAGTTGACTGCCATTTTTACTGTAAAGACCGGAAACCCGACAGCAACGAAAAATTAACTTTTGGGCCTTTAATTTGGACCTAAAAAATGCTTTTTATGATTTACTGAATTTTAGGTTTGAGTGAATGAGCCCATTTATTACTTATACAGGTTTTGGTACTGTATCTGGTAACTGGTATAACTCTTTCTGGGAAGTAGTAAATTATTACTATCAGTATTGTGCTACAAAAAACGTGATACTAATTTAGTACACACACCACAATGTGTATACTTCATAACCGAACTTTACAATATAAAAAATAGTTTGATTCGGAACGGTTCAATTGGTTTTGTCCGCTGTTTATAAATTTGATTTTAGTTTTATGATCTTACCTTTTTTTTTAAACGAGAGATTTACTTTTACACGTAAGAAATTTATCTTTTACACGTAAGAGATCTAAAAATATTATTTTCTTAAATTATAAATTGTAAAGGGACCGAAAAAAACAAAAAAAAAAAAACAATGAGAACAAACAAACAAAAGAGGGGGTCCCGTGTTAGAAAGGTAATAAAAGCCGTGTGAAACTCATGAGAGAAAAAGTAATATGGGTTTGAATTGGCTTTTAAGCTTCTCATATAAGCTTTTTAAGCTCTGTTTAGTGTTTTTTAGCGTTTGGCAAAGTTAAAAGTACTTAAAATAAATTAAAATTGTTTAAAACAAATCAAAAATATTTTTTTTTTTGCTTAAAAGTTATTTATTCTTTTAAGTCAATCCAAACATGCTCTAAATAAACAAATACAAGTTGTACTGCTGCGGGTTTTGAGTTTTAGGCCAGTCACTAAACAAAGGCATTAGCTAATGAGTCCCCCAAATGTGACTAATAAGAATTTTTAACCAAAATGTGCCATTTTCGGAACAAAATTTCCTGGAGGTACAAGTTTTAGGAGAATTCCAAGAATGTTTCTATACTTTCTGTTTTTTACATTCGTGTTTTAAAGATCTTTCCTAACAAGATACTCCAATCATGGTAAATATCCACCCGCACTAAATATGTATACCAAATCAACTAATTTAAATTTGATAGTTAAAAATTAAAATAAGAAATGAGTGTATTAAAAATACATATCGTATATTTTTGATATAGTGTAAATATCAAGTAAGTTTTTATTGTCCTAACACTACAACTATTCGGATTGCTTCAAAATGTAAAGCAATCTGTTCAGATTAGTTCGGAAACTTGAAAATTTTCTGTAAACTGACATTCCACTTAATTGTTGCCTTGGCTTTGTTATACTACATCAAATTCTAATCTTGTTACACAAAATTTCAGTATTATTTCTAATTTCAATTTGTTTTCATATCTTGCTCATAGAGTCATAGTATTTGCCAAAACTAATTTCCAAGCCACGGGATAAAATCGGGAAATTAGAGCAGATAACAACTTGTGATCAATAAAGGGAGAGAGTTGTTATTCTCCAGAGCACAAGGTGAAGTTTACAAAGTTTTCTCTTTGTGTACAGTATCTGCCTGCTTGTAAATTTGTCATTTAATGAAGATAGCAAACAACACTTTATATGAATTGAGCTGATTATACAAATTCTAGTTTCCAAATCAAACCTAAGAAGGCTTAACATCAGGATTGCTCTTGTAAAGCTTATTGTATTCCTCCAGTTCTTCGTAATACATGTCCCACACGCACGGAACACATCCATTGCCGCAACAATCACCCGGCAACGGCTTCTCCGGCGGCGGCGGAATCGTGACCTTTGATTTTTCCTGATTCTTCTCCGACTCGGCTTTATTATTCATCGTTGACTCTATGGAGCTGTTTTTATTCGCTTCCTCGGCCATCGGACTTTTGAGTGCAGCGATATTACGGTCTGATAGAAATCTAGGATAACTGAATCGGATCAGATTAACAGTTGAGATTCGTCCAAAAGTCAGATCTGTAATAGGCATGAGAAACGCGGAGGCGCGTTGGACATTTTCCGGTGGCCGATGGCGAAGATTGGTTGTTAAAGGTGTCGTTTTGGACAAAGTGAGTCCAGAAAGGGCCATTCTTATACAACCAATCTGAGGACACCTTTTGAGCCAATCACGTGTTGACTAATGTGTATGATTTGTTTAAGTATTATACTAGTAAAACAAAGGCTAATATCTGGCTGCGGACAACTTTATTCTCCTTTTTTTCAAATACATAAGTGATTTAAAATAGTTTTATATTTTAACATACTTCTATGTTCACAGATAAAAAACCATTATATTTTTTAAAAGTAAAAATTCCACAAAAAAATTGTAGCTTAAACTCGTTTTTCAATTAAATTACATCACAGAAATTGAAATAGAGTGAAAGATACTACCACTAAGGTATTACCCTTAAGTGGTCAACTTTATTCTCCTTTAGGTTACGATGTTTTGTACCCGTTCATATCTAAGATGCCATAGCATTGCATTAAACATTTCAGTTTTTTATTTTAAAAGATCTAATACCATCCATGGTTTAAAAATATGCTACGTATTATTATTTAAATAGTCAATAATCTTCGTTATAATTCTTTTAAATACTTAACTGCAGACGATGATATTTACTGTGACTTCGTAAGTTTTTGAATATGTGAATTTATTTTATAAGAAAATTTATTTTAAACAAAATTGAAACATACATATCTAAATTTATATTAAGAATTGAATTATGTTAAGTCTTATCCTTCGAACATTATTATTCCTATTTGGACAGAAGAAGTAATAACAAGCAAAAGCGTTGTCTTTATTCATTAGATTGTCAAGAGGAAACGGGTACAAAAACCGCGGTTGAAATCTCTAGAAGACCGAAAAAAATAAGGAAAGCTTTATAAGAGTAATTTTCATAAATCATTATTGTTCTTATAGCTACCATATGTATAATTACTTTATATAGCTACTATTCAGTTATTACGGTAGTATATTCATATGTATTTGCGTTGTTGTATTCATGAATACAGCAGCAAAAAGCGCCTAAAATCAGGTCAATCCAGCTGTACGCGCATGTATTCACATGTATTCGCGCTGCTGTATTCATGAATACAGCACTAAAAAGCACCTAAAATCAAGGCAGTCCAGTTGTACGCACATGTATTCACATGTATTCGCGCCATGTATTCATGAATACAGTAACAAAAAGCGCCTAAAATCAGGGCAGTCCAATTGTACACTCATGTATTCGTGCTGCTGTATTCATGAATACATAAGTAAAAAGTGCCTAAAATCAGGGCAGTCCAGCTGTACGCGCATGTATTCACATGTATTCGTGCCATGTATTCATGAACACAGTAGCAAAAAACGCCTAAAATCAGGGCAGTCCAGCTGTACGCGCATGTATTCACATGTATTCGTGCCATGTATTCATGAACACAGTAGCAAAAAACGCCTAAAATCAGGGCAGTCCATCTGTACGCGCATGTATTCACATGTATTCGCGCTGCTGTATTCATGAATACAGTTGTACGCGCATGTATTCACATGTATTCGCGCCATGTATTCATGAATACAGTAACGACAATCCCTTAAAAATAGGTATGTCCAGCTGTCTAAGAGAGTGGAAAAACATAAAATAAAAAAAAAACGTATTTCATGCCTCAATGGTAGTATATACCATAATAATTACTTATTTTACTATAAAATATAAAAGGTAGCTATAGAAAATAATATTTTAAAATAATTTTGGTTTATAATAAATAGGGTGTATACATTTGATATAGGAAGTAAAATTTCAATAATTATAAATAATTTTATGGGAATAACAATGCCTAATTGAACAGCAGTAACCAAAACATGTGGGATCCATTCATCCAGATTAGCCATTACTATATTTTTATCGTGATCTCTTCTCGAAACCACTAAATCTATGGCCCTTAAAAGTGACGTGGCATCTGTCATTGAACAGGAAATGGGTTTATCTATTATATCAGTTTTAAGGGCTTTTCCGTTTTATTATTCAGCCAAAAACTAAAGGCTCGGTTACAGAAAAGGCACCACTCACTCAAAATTCTCAGGAAACCGTTTCGAAATAATTCTCACGCATTAAATTCCAGCGGACATAAATCAACAATGAACAGAGTCTTTGTCTTCATATAAATCAACAATGAACAGAGTCTTTGTCTTCATATAAATCAACAATGAACAGAGTCTTTGTCTTCATATATCTCTGTATTAAATTCCTGTTTCTATTTGTCTATCTCAGGCCTTAGAATGGTTGACAATTCAGGAGAAGATATAAAAGGAGGAAAAATCTGATGTGTAAAGATGATGGTAAGGTAAATTGCAGTTTTTTTTCTTTTTTGTTTGCTATGAACTTTTGCTGAAGAGAAAAGACATGCTGAATAGGGGTAGAGAAATATTAAAAAAAGAGGCTAAATAGTGTATTTCTTCCCACATTTTGCAGCATATTTTTATGTTGATTATGAATCAAATAATTTTTCTTGGATTATGAGGCGGTGGAAATTCAGGAAAAATAGTGTAACAGCAGCAGTTCCTTAACTAAAGAAGAAAACAATAACGGAAGGGTGAAGAAGTTTATAAAGGACAACGTAGTGATAGGAAAATCTTTGTCAAGATATTATTCTGTCAATTTTTAAGAATGGAAAGAATATTTTAGGTATATATCAGTGCCTAATAATAATAATAATAATAATAATAATAATAATAATAATAATAATAATAATAATAAT